CCCAGGTTACAATTTAACACGTTAATCCAGATAGATTTATAGATGAGGATAAAAGTTATCAGTCTGGAGGGAAGAATCCATATCCCATTCTTCATTAAGCCCTAAAAGGGTCAGGTTTTGTAGGGTGTAAATCAATTTTGTTTTCAGCAAGCTGTGCCACATAGTTTATATTTATCTCAGTTATACGCTTGATTAATGATGCTTCCTCTTTTGCCCTTAATAAATACACCGTGGTACAGAATCCTTTCACAGTATACTTGTTTAAAATATGCTTCATGGCCTCTTGAGTCATTGCAGGTGGATGGTAAACTCCCTTGCGGTGGCCACGGAGCGCACACAGCCCGAGCACGAACAGCATTGTCTTAAGCCTTTTGACATTTTAAATGGATTGGTGGATAAGCCCATCAACTCAATCAGGGGTTCTTGTCACAGGCTGTGTTTGCAGCGGTTGTCATAGCTGAAGTTGTCTCTGCAGCGCTGTGTGAAACTGATCTATGGTACTATGGTATTTTAGGCAGTCCGGGGGCTAACATTTTCCACTTGTATTTTAAAGGGGTCTTGCCTCGGGTCAGTCATGAGGGAACCCCTGCCCCCTCCCTCCAGCTCGTCTGGGATTCACCACCTCCTCTGTTGCTCTGCCTCATAGTGGTGCTCTCTAAAACAGGGCTAAATTTAAAGGAGCACCACCATTGTGGCCTTTGGGGAAAAAAAACTCCCGTGAGTCAACACCTCCCTCCCAGTATTCTGCTTTGTGTCAACAGTAAGGCCCAGCTGTTGCTCTGTCCCGTGGTAAACCTGTCTGCTGTACTTATGGCTTTCAGTCCTAAGCTATACAGTATGTTTCTCCTCTCCTTCAGACAGAGTTAGGAATGTCACTTTCCATTATTGTGGTACAGGACAGCCTAGGGTGGCAAGGAAAATGGATCTCAGAGTGAAAGGTAGATTTAATGTTCAGGTGGAAGGGAGTGCCTCTGGTCCGTAAAAGATAATCCAGTTTCATCTGTTTAGATCAGACACTTATCCCTGTTAAGAGGTGAGCAGATGTGCACGTTTGAGTGCTTGTTTGTTTAGGAGGCACACAGCTGTGTTTACAGGCAACGCCCTTATGGCTACTGTAGTATTAAGCCTCATGTCATCTGTAAAGTTCCACTAGATTGACTCAGATCAGAGGTTGTCAGACCTGTGCCTATTGAAGCTTTTAACTGATTTTTATTGTTCAATTCAGTTTTGAAATGGATTGAATGATGTCATTTTAAACAATCGTACACTTGCCTTAACCTACGTTGGTTCATCACACCTTTTTGAAAGGGTCACAGATGAGGTTGTTGTGGCATTACACGTCAGGGTGCAGGGTCTTGCCGCAGCTGGCTGCATGTTTAGCAGGCCAAGAAAGTGGTCGTGGGCAGAGGTGCAAAACGCAGTCCTACTCAAAGTATCTCGCAGCCATCGTTGGCTTCAGTTTTGTCGATATACAGGAGCAGGAACGTTGGAGGCTGCTTTGTGAGGCGCGCTGTGCAGTGGCGTGTGCTGCTATTGCGTCACTGCCTAGAGGGGGGCAGAGACTGTATTTTTAGAAGGGAATGGGCATATTCTCTGAACAAACAACGTCAAGCACTCTGCTTGCGTATGCTAGGATTATTGTAACCGGGCTATTTTTAAGCTGTGTGTATGTGTGTGTGTGAGAGTGCTTTTTTCTGGGTCAAGCATGGTGCCAGTACTCTCTCGAGGCTGCTGGTGGATCGCGCATTACAGGTCCTATGCTGGGCACAGCATCTGCATCAGTCATAAAACAAAGAGTCAGAGAGACACGGGTTTAAACCATCAGGGAGCATTTTCAGGATACGTCTGTGTCTGCAATACTGCTGTAAGGGAGACATATTGACTGTATTTGTGGAACAGTCAGACAGTCTCAATTTAGGCTAATTCAGAAGGCCTCATTAACCTGTAGTGTATCAGTTAAGGAGATGACATTGCATATTAAATGTAAACCACAGCCACAATGTATAAATGTGTGTGTGCAATATTATAATTGAGAACTGACTAATAAACACAGACAAAATGTATAACAAATACATTTGTGTGGGAGCCAGTTTGGGTGTGTCCATTTTTGCCTGTCGCTCCCATGAGACAGAAAAGGAGCGATAGATATCGTAAGTGTATGTATATGTAATGTTTTTATTTTTGTTGTTTTGTTCTGAAACTAAATTAAGCAAAACTGAAATTAACATAAAAATCAAACCAACCAAAACAATCGGACTCTCAGTTTTTGTCTGAAAACCAAGTAAAGCAAACATTTAAATACACATTCGATTAAAACACAAGTTTATAAACAAATGCAGAACTGGGTCAGCAGAGTCATGAAGGAAAAATGCCAAACATCTGCTGCTTCCAGCAATTTGAATACATAATCTTGGATTCTGGGAAATTGTGATGGAGTTTTTTCCACTATTTTCTGACATTTCATCGACTAAAAATTCATTCAAAGATATAGTAGTATAGTTAGTTATAGCTCTGTCAAATAGAAAAACTGTCATAATCCTGCTTGGCAATTGGGCACATATTTCACATGCATCAGCATCACCACAAATCCCTGTACCGCATCATCTCCCCAGGCTCCTAATACATCATGCTGGACAAAGCAATGCTATGACTGTACGGAGTCTCTCTGTTACGCTGCCTGTTACCGGTGTCACTTATTTGCATTTGTGTTGCCAGTCGGTGGCAGCTGGTTGGACCTTGATTAACACAGTGGTCTCTCTCCGCCAGAGAGTCGGACAGTAAAATAATCTGTCTTACCATTTCACACTGAATGACCTCGAAATCGGTCCAGCTGTCACATCCAGAATCGCTGGCCATGAGGAAATTCTCAGAAACTTTCTGCAAGAGGTGTGTTGCAGCATCGGTTGCAACCCGCATTCAAAGTGTTGCCACATTGTTCAGCCATGCTTCACATAGACTGTGAAGCTGTTTATCATCAACACTGTTAACAAGGATGAGCATTGTGACCTTCCCCTCTAAAGCCTGGCACTAACATGTAGAGGCCTCTCGGGCTCTTGAGCCGCAGGATTTTCTCTGGGCCTCTCCAGGCTAGCCTAGTTTTATCCCAGTCTTTCCCAAGAGTGCAGTTATTTTCAGCAATACGTGGCTTTAATGCTCCGATTTTGTCAATGCGTTGTTCTTCTGTGTAGAGCAAAGGTATTATATGAAAAAGGTATAGGAGACAATGTTACCCTGTTTTAACAAGAGCACTCCCCAGTCTGCTAGTAAGCACCTGCTTAAGAAGTTCCTGCATCTTTGTCCCATTCAGCAAGCTTATTCAGTGAATGTGTCTTCAGTGAGGAGTTGTGGGGGCGGGCCCTCCATAGGTGTTGAATCGAAGCCCTTGGCGGCACCGGGAGCCTCACCAAAGCTGGCCTTTGTTCACTGGATAAGTGACGCAGTGGGAATATTAGTGCGATTACACAGAATGGCCGAATGCCAGAGGTCCAGTTGCTGCCATAGGTCAGAAAAGAGTGAATATTGGGGTTATGCAACGCTGTGTAGTCACATTTGGGCGGCCAAATGCAGGCATTGCCAGGACGGTGTTGTTGTCCTCCGTCACACATACGGTACAGTACAGTCTCATCAGCATGGTGACTAAGATCCTGTGCACTGAGCTTTCACCAGCCGTATCTGAAGACAGACTGAGCTATCCCTTCATTAACTAGACTTTTGAATTATTAACCGGTCAAAAGCTCTTTTCCAAAATGTTACACATCCACTTTGAGAATATAAAAACATTCCCTAGGATTCCATCTATCACAGTGTTCATTGTTTTTGGTTTTTTTTGCTCCAAGGACTGAAGTTATCTTTTCAAATATTCAATAATGTGTGTCTTTGTGATTGTTATCGTACATTGTGACAGAAGCGTTCTTTTAACTAGTGGATCTCTCCCTTTCCGTATTCACTCCTCTTCAGTTAATGTGTCACCCTAGCTGACGGTCCGTACAGTCATGATCTTGTTTGGGGCTTGTTTGAGCTGTTCTTCCCTTAGCGGTCAAAAGCAGACTTCTGCAACTCACGCCACCCACACGTTGGTTATGTATAGCCCACACCTACCCCTATCTGCCCAGTGGTTTGAAAACAATGCTTTGTGCAATTCTAAGGCTGCTATTTGTGAAACCTCGATCATGCACAGGGGGCTCTTACAATCTTATGTAATGCTCCCCTCTCAACTGTAATCCGTCTTATGCTGAGTGAGCCCCCCATGTGACGGCGCTGAAGGGTTGGGAGAGTCAGGGTGGCTGCTGGGGCCGTCGGCAAGGCACGGGTGCTCTGTGTAGACTCCGGCCACCCGCCACACACACACACACACACACACGCACACACACACACACGCACACACACACACACCTCCAACACAACACACACACAGCACAACACATCACAACAACACACCACACACACTGAGCCTTGGGCCTGTGTCATAACGAAACGAAGCTTGTCCTGGAAGTGCCTTACTTGGAACTGAGACGCTGCATAGAGACACAACGCTGGATGCTTGTCTGTAGGCTAAGGCTTGACTCAGACATACAGGTAACTTCATTGGAGCGAATATGTCCTGAATGACACTCCAGCTCTCCTCTGATCTTCATCCTCGTGTGTGAGCCACGAGAATGAATCTTTGTCCGCGGTTAGGTATAGAGCAATCTTCTGGAATTAGTCTGCTGTTATCTTTCCCTCGTGAATTTTTTGTTTGCAGGAAGAAGCTGATTTCTTTTTGAAGAAACATTAAGTATTTTTGAGATCCACCAACAGTGTAACTGCATATTTTGGCTATAAAAAAACCCTACTGGTGTGAGTGCTTGAGGTATTTATTTTTAAAAATATTCACAGCTTATTGATCTAATGCTTTTATTTTTCTTTCTTTCCCACCAGGGAACCATCAATGTGGACTTCAGCTGGTGATTTGACAGTCACATATAGGAGCCCAAGTCGCTCCTGTCCCCTCTCCCCTCCCTTCCTCTTTCCCCTCCCTCCCCCCTTCCCTTGTCAATCTTCTCCCCGATCCCCCTTTCCCCCCCACCGCCAAGATTCACCATGCTTATCAAGGAGTACCGCATCCCCATGCCCATGAGTGTGGAGGAGTACCGCATTGCCCAGCTCTATATGATCCAGGTGAGGTCACAACACCATATTCCCGACCAAATTTTCACCCACAACACACCTGGCTGAAAACGGCCAAGTGATGCAGAAGCCAGAGGAAGATACATTAACACAGGGATTTTTCTGGAGTGCTTTCGCAGTGTGCCCAATTATGAAATGATTGGTCACACGGTGTCTGACGCCGATAGAGTAACGGAACAAAGAGAGCTTGTGTGCCGATAGATTATCCAATTTAAACTCTCTGAAGCTGGTTGTTTCCACCCGTCATATGCTGAATGTTTTTATTCAGGAAGATGGTGGGTGCACCCTGCTCTCACTGCAAACTCGGTGCACACACACATACTCCCCCGATGGAGATGGACACGCTGCTTTTTCTGTGTCATACAGTTTCATTAGTCTAACCAGGCCCTTAGCTGGAGACTAAGGGTCTGTGTAAGAGCTTAAGGCTTTACAACTCCGAGCAGGACAGACTGATTTATACAGCCTTACTTATCCTGTGTAGCAACATATTTTCTTTTCATATGACATGTGAACATAGAGGATTTATTTAATCCAGTTGCACTGCCAGGTGCACTGTGAGCAGCAGTGCAGAGAAGAGGCATGGAGAGTGATCACAATGACTCAGACTGTCGTAAAATTTCTGCATTAAATTGTTACTGTTGTTTAGACATGTTGTACACGGTTAGATGCATTTTTCCTGTTGAAATGTTTTATCGTTTGCGTCACATGCTACCTAAACAGTCAGAAATTTCAGCAACATTCAGCAGATGTGTTGGGATTTAAGCTGCATGGTTATGTAATGTTTATCCCAAGTGGTTTTACGTTTGTTGATGAGCAGATTGAGGTTGAGGCATTTTTCCACATTCAGTGTGTTTTGCCTCTTTAGTAATCTTCTACTGTAACGTTCATGTCAATGAACATTACATAATGAGTGCTTTCAACAGGAAAATAAGAATCATGAGAAGTGTGAGGAATATTCAGCGTTGTAATCAGCCCTCAGGGAACAGCTCCATTGGAGAATTTAAACATTTAGGCCTTGCGTAAGGAAACCTTAGCATGCCGTCAAGCTGTTGAACTTCCCATAGAGAGGCCTTTCATGAGTGTTTATGTTAATTAATATCCACCCACCGGTATAACAATACTACAACACAGTCAAGGCAAGGCATCTTTTAATTATATAGTACCCTTCAAACAAAAAAATGGAATTCAGAGTGGTTAGACAGAAATACATTTAAGACATCATAGATGATTAAAATTGCATTTAATGACAAAAAGTGAAAACAAGCAAATAATTTGTTACAGAAGTAACAAAACATAAGTTATTTATCTAATTTATTGTAAAGCCGCAGTAAACAATAATGTTTTAAGCCCTGATTTAAATGAGCTGACAGTTTTGGAAGACCTCAGATATTCAGGAAGCTTGTTTCAAAGGTGCTGCTTCACCTTGCTTGGTTTTGATCACTGAGTAAACCCTTTCCAGATGACCTTAGGGGTCTGGATGTTTCGTATTGTACAAGTAAATCAGAGATGCATTTAGGCCTGAGACTATTTAGTGCTTTATGGACAAGTAGTAAGATTGTAATCAGTTTTTTGACACACATAGGAAGCCAGTACAGTGGTTTAAGCTTTGTTCACTTGTATTTCCTCAGAGGGCGTCTCCTTCTACTATGTAATCTAAAAAAACAGTTTGTCTGAAAATGTTTCTGACATTTCCTGAAAACATCAACTAATACTGTATAATTGTACAGACATTTCTTCTCTTTCTTCTGTTCTGTCTGCACAAATAATGTTAGATGGTCAATACACAAGCCCATAAAGAGTTTATTGGTGTCTAAAAGAGTATCAAACTTTTCAGTTGAAAACCTTCGGTCTGTTGGTCTGTTGTTTTTCTTCAACCCCCCCCCCCCCCCNNCCCCCCCCCCCAGTGTACCACACAGACAGGTAATCCAGTCGAGCTGTAGATGGTTGGGAACATGACTCAGCGGACATGCCCCAAAGCCAAGAAACGTTTCAAGACAGCACAAACTAGTCTCTGCACCACATTTACACACACCTGATCATTTCTTTGTCACCTTCGCTGTTTTGAAGAGTGTATTATGGGGAGTTATTAATTAAGTGAAACACTTCACACACACTGCGGTATTAATTTTGACCTGCCTTGCTCTCAGATCCTCTGCATGGCCTGTGTTGGATTATGCCAGACAGGACATTGTGCAAAGACATTACACATGCACAACCAGGTTTACACAAAGTCTTAGTCCTGTGAGAAAAACAGTTCATGTGTGCAGTCTCAAGCATGTAAACAGATCAAGAGGAGGAGGACATTCTTACATTAGTGACCCATAGTTACCTTTCCCCCTGACCTCACCCTCTTTGCACAGCCTTGTTGCTGTGAGGCTTCTGTCACTATGGCAACCATGACATCAGCAGCGTGCCGGTGGTCAGGTTTTGTTCGACAGAGGGAGTAAATGAAAAGAGGAAATGGAGGATAAAAAGAGAGGCTGCGAAGGAGGGAGGGGAAGAAATGAGAGAGGGGGTGGAAGGAAGAGAGAGAGAGAAAGATTTTGCTGGTGTCTGTGGATACCCTTGCTTCATTGCTGTATGTTACCAGGGCAACTGCAGCATGTAGGCCTGCCTGCCTGCGATCCATCCCTTGTGTGAGCCTCATAGATGAAGTCAGGGCCTTAGGACAGCCTGGCCATATCTGCACCTCAGCAGCCCTTGCCCCACCCCATCTTTCCTCTCACTTCTTTCCTTTGCCCTTACAACGCCGCCTTCTTATTTGCTAGATAATTATAAATTCATTATCGCCACGTAGGGATTTGCTGTAGTGTACGAAGCAAATGAGGAATGTGCAAGAAATTAAAAATGAGAGGATCTCACTGTGTCTCATTCATTCGCACACATCCATCATGGTCTGACTAAGCAACTGTATCCGTGGAGCGAGGTGAAAAGCAGCATCTCAAACAGGAAACACGCTTTGCTAGCATGTTGGCGAGAGAAAAAAAATCAGGATGTGACTCCCATCCTGTCGGAGCAGTTGGATCTAAACATATACATTAGGCTTTGATGCTAGCTTTTTTTTTAAGGGTTTGATGGCTTTTGGGAGAGAAGGTGGGGGAGAGAGAGAGAGAGAGCTTTGTGGCAAAGGTTTTAGGGCAGGACTTGAACTTACAGCGGCACTTTGTCTTTGTGTTCTCAGCCAAAAAGGATTTTACATTAGAGCAGTGTAGATGGCTGCCCCCCGCCCTCTCCTGTGAAAGTAGTCGACACACTTCCAGAGCCTCTTGAAAACTATTTCTTAATTTCTTTTCCCCCACAGGTACAGTTTACATCTGTAGGCCAATAAACAAAGCACACCGCTGTTTTCATTAAGAATCTAATTTTACATTCAGTGTTAACTTTAAACATGTTATCTACTCCCTCACTTCCCTTTTTTTCCCCTAAGGGAACAGCCGAGCACTGGCCAGTGTTTTGTAATCTTTTTCCTGGTGAACTGGAAACAATCCACCGTTGCATCCATCTATCTATCTATCTGGATTATAGTACTCACAATAATGCACTAACCTTATTCTGATCAGTCTAATTGAAAAGCAACTGATTAAGTGGAAAGATATGAACTTTTCCTTTACATGAATTGCTTAAAATTGTTAATCTGTGTAGACACATTTATTGTTTACATCTGTGTATGTCTACTTCTGCATACATTTTTTATAGTGCTTGTAAACCTGACATTTACATAAAGTGTCTTGGGTTCTGGCTTACGTGTATGACCAGTTTGACGGTGCTGTGGTGTCTGCGCTGTGTCTTTGGAGCTGTGTCTGGGCTGTTGAGAGCAGAGCGGGTGGCTAATGAATGACCTGTCAGAGGTAATGAGGTCCGGAGCGCTGGACACCTCATCCTCCCTTCCACTCCTGATTACTTGCTCGCTTCTCCCAACCGCACTGACTGGAGATTCTGTCTCTCTATTCACCCAGTTGCACACTAAATACACTGCGTTTAACATAAAACACACACACACACACACACAGCCCACTTATGTGGAAAGACTGAACAAGGCCGATAAGGGAAATAGAGATGTAGCATCAGTTATCTCTGACATTTTAATGATTTTGCTCCTTTGCTCCTGTCTTTATATATATGTCAGCAACTTGAACTATGCTCTGCAACTTTAAGTTTCCCATTTTACTGATTTTCATAAAAATCAGAATATTCTTTGCGTCACCTTTGAGTTTTGCTTTAGTCCCTAGCTGTGAGGAGTACTATACTGCATTCTGCAGACTCCCACCCAGCCAGTCTTCCTCTGTGCACCTGGATGTAAAATATGGGGAGGTGTGGGCTCCATGAAGCTGGGTTTAGGGCTTCCTGTTTGAAATTCAGAAGTGAGGCTAAGCTTTTTAGGAAGCTATTATTTTGGTGCGTAGTTTCGATCTACTACTGTGCATTTCATTTTTTTAAATTCGTAGTTCCTTATTTTTTTTTTTTTTTTTTAGCTTTATTCTTTTTTGGCTTTTTTTATTGCCTTTATTTTGATAGGGACAGCCCGAAGATAGACCAGGAAAGGGGGGTAGAGGAGAGAGGGATGCACGAGCAAAGGGCACAGGCTCAGTTCGACACCCCTGGGCCGCTGCAAGCAAGGACTCAGCCTCAGTACATGGGTCGCCAGCTCTACCGACTGAGCTAACCAGGCGCCCTTTTCAGTTCCTTTTTAAACATCTGTTTCAAGTATAGGCTTGATTTGAATATATATTTTTAAATGTAACACTCCTTTTACACCACACTACTATGCAAACATGAACACCTCCAACTTCATTTGATTATTCCTCTTACAGAAAAAGAGCAGGGACGAGAGCTGTGGTGAAGGCAGCGGGGTGGAGATCCTAGAAAATAAGCCCTACACAGATGGACCGGGTGGAACGGGCCAGTACACCCACAAGGTCTACCACATTGGCATGCACATTCCCAGCTGGTTCCGCTCCATCTTGCCCAAAGCAGCACTGAGGGTTGAAGAGGAGTCTTGGAACGCCTACCCTTACACCCGCACCAGGTGAGGTTTGCTACTGCAGGAGTGCCAACTCCACACCCCTTCAGAGCAGGAGTGAGAGTGCATTAAATCCTGCCAAAGCTGCACTATAAATTTGTTATATTAATAAAAGAAATGCATGGGTGTTCAACTGCTGCAGCTAGTAGATATACACACATTTGAAGACACAAATTCAAACCCACACTGGATTAGAAGATAGATAATTTTTCAAGCCCCGCTTTTATTCAGTGTAATATGTTTAAAAGCCATGAGTGGTGAGTGTGATGATGCCTAGTCTGAAGTCCTGGTCTAGCTGCTGCCCCTAAGTAAAAGCCCAAAAGAAAAATAAAGATCTCAGAGTTGTCAATTTGTCAGAATATTACAGAGCAGACCATCATATCGGCGTGTGGCCAGCAGCCTGTTAGATGTTGATGGCCCCTCATTCTCAGGGTGTCGGTGTGTTTGTCTGTGTGGTTCCTGACAAACACAGAGACATGAAGGTGCTGAAAAGAGATGTGCCCTTGACTATACTGTCAGGATATTGATAGACTGCAAGTGCCTGTTGACACATCCATTCAACCAGTGACAGCTTTGTTGCAGACGCCTCAGATGCAACAGATGGGCATGGCTCACATGTCTTCTATCCTCAGCAGTGAGAGGGTGTTGTCTCTTGTAATAAAATAGATCTGATCTTGAGACATTCAGTTGAAAATTAAATCTCTTAATGAAGGCAGATGCCACCCCATAAAAGACTCTTGCTCTGCTGAGACAGTTGTTCTGTTCCATTTTTCTTGATTTTACTGCTTCTTGTCCTTCAGATACACCTGTCCCTTTGTTGAGAAGTTCTCCATTGACATTGAGACCTACTACAAACCCGACACAGGCAACCAAGCAGATGTGTTCAACATGTCTGCAGCAGAGAAGAGGCAGAGGACTATTGGTGAGACCATGTTAATTGTTAATCCGGAACCATTACAACAAGATAAATCAGATATCAACTTATGTGTATGAGGCTACTTTAACTTTCCACCACACAGCATACATGCTCTTATTTTGAGACAGCAAAAAGAAGTCATTGTCAATCATTATCTGCAGTGTAGCTATATAGAACAGCAAGTAATTACCCTTTCTTGCAACTGTTATTTAAGATGACAGGTTAGAATTAGTAGTTTTAGTCTAATGGTGTCTGGATATCGTTCCTCTTGTGTCTCAAACATAAGGAGCAGGTGAGGCCCACTTGTGGCAATTGAATGGTACTGCATATGTTTTTTCCTGTTTGGTAGCATGCCTATTGAATATGAAGCTGTTCAGAAATGAATGCTTTTAGGGCATGTAGTGACCCAGTTACAGCTTTGATTGCAATCTTTTTAATCAATGACTTATTCTTCTAAGTGTTTGTCAGCCTGAACTTGAGTTATTATGAGAATTCCAAGAATTTCTAATACCTTATAGTTAATAAAATAAAATAAGTATACATCATGATATAATATTGAAGACACAGAGTGTAAACAACATTAATGCAATACATTGAACACCTGGCTCCTAGTCATTGCTTTCTAAATTTGAACCATCTTTGGCAGACCCAATCGACATAGTGACAGATCCCATTCCTCCACATGAGTACAAAGCAGAGGAAGACACACGGCTCTACAAGTCAGTGAAAACCCAGAGGGGTCCTCTGCAGGACGACTGGATAGAAGATTACAACAATAACCCAGGGAAGACCCCCATCATGTGTGCCTACAAACTCTGCAAGGTGGAGTTTCGCTACTGGGGCATGCAATCTAAGATTGAACGCTTCATCCATGATGTTGGTGAGTGCAGTCACAGATGTTACTAACACCATATTTTGACAGGAATGCTATTTAATCCACACTTAAATGTAGGAACCTTTAGCTTTTTAGATATATGTGTGAATTATTTGCCATTGTCTCTCTGTAGGACTGAGAAAGGTGATGGTGCGTGCCCACCGGCAGGCCTGGTGCTGGCAGGATGAGTGGTACGGTCTGACCATGGAGGACATCCGTCAGCTGGAACTGGAAACCCAGCTGGCCCTGGCCACAAAGATGGCCCAATTCAGTCAGGCAGAGGAGGCCACAGAAGCCAACGGAGGTGCTCCGTCTCCGGACAAAGACCAAGAGGTTAAAGAGGCAATCAGCTCCATTGAAGCTGAAGAGGTGGTTGTCAGCTCAGGAGGAGAGACTCTCCAGCCACGAGGTGTACTCACAAAGCAGTGGTCCACCTCATCCAGATCCTCCCGCTCATCCAAGAGAGGAGGTGAGGAGCATGCCATCTCCACCTATTAATCTCTGTCACCTCTGTGTATGACAGTGTGTGAGACTGACACTGGTACCTACATTCATTGTGTATTCTCATGGCTCTGACCTATACAATTCTCAGCCTCTTATACTGTAGCTCTGCACTGTCCTGAACCATACACCTTCCTTCACACATTATCACATCTATATTTACACCTCGTCATGCCCTAAAGCCTTATTTATTCAGTCTGCCACCTCTCTACTTTAAAGGTTAAGGTAGACTATCAACAAAGTCAAACTGTTCCATCAGTAAACACAGCCAGTTGGGATATTTGTCCACACTGGAAGCTAGTATGTGAAGAATTTAACAAGGTCAAGTGTCAAGCTTGTGCAAAACTAAAGTAGCTAAGTAGCTTTTTATGTTTTATATAATTTTTGTTTGTTATTTCTATGTAGATAAAGTGATAAACCTCCTGAATTTAAAACACTCAGCGCTGTGTAAACTTGAGAGGTGGCTGTTAAAAGTTATTAGCCTGCTTTGTTCTAAAGAACTACCTCTCTGGTTGAATTAATGTGGATAACAATAGATTCCTAGAACAACAAGATATTCATAGAAGACCACCGTTCACTGGCCACTGTTCCACAGGAAGTATCATAATGGCTACATTTAAAAAAGATTCATCATCAACCCACACAAGTCAAGTTGACCGCAACCACAGTTCAAAAAGAAGAAGCGAACTAAACATTTTTACAGCCACCTTTTGAAGATACAATAGACAACCATTTCTATATATTGTTTTCTGTGGTTCAGTGTGTGCACACTGAAAGTTGCTCCCAAGCTGAATGAATTAAAGTCCATTGAAGATTTCTGAGCTCAACTTGTTAAGTTGGTGTTAATAAAGTCAGACACTTTGGGAGCAGCTTTTTAGTATGCAGACTCTGCTTTTGTACCACAGTTTGTCCGGCGCCTGACTAATTGGAATGTTTTTACTCTACTTGACTATTTTTACTCACTTCTCCATGTTTGCTGTACTATCAAACTTACCTCACCTCACACATACAGCTCGGTAGATCTCACCTAGATTATTTTTAGCAGCAGCTTTGACATCACAAACCACATGTCCGAACACACCCAACTCTAGTGTCACCCCTACTTCAAGGCTGCACTCACTGTAGCTGCCACCTGGACGATGACTCTCATCCAGTGTGCCTTGTTTCACCCCTGTAACTCCCCCCTGTGATTCTCTCCGAGCTATTTTTAGCAGCAGTGCTGACATCACAGACCAGCGGAGGCTGACGCTCTTCACAGTGACCCTCCCTTCCACCACTGCTGTTCCCTTCTGTGTGCTGACAGCTACAGCTGTGCCCCCCTCTCACCAGCATGCCCCTTAGAGCAACTCCCCCCTCTCTACCCCAGCACTAATGATATATGAAGCATAGACCGAAGACACGTGATAGACAAGGCCTGCTTTATTATCGCCATTTTCTTCAGCTGGCATTTGGTTGTCGATGTGCTTGTAGCTCGTCTGTGTTACATTGGGCTTTACTTTTCACACACCCCCTTGACCACCAAACACTCCATCTGTGATGAAGTAATGCACCACAGAGACTGTTGCATGTTTATATAACACTGTGTGTGTGTGTGGGCCGGGGGAGATATTTCTTTGTCATAGAGTGTGTGTGTATGTGTTTGTGTGTGTGTGTGTGTGTGTGTATGTGTGTGTTAAAAATGGAAAGAGAGAGGCTGAAACACATGTCCCAAAATAACAGTGAATTTTGTGTTCATGTGCGGTCTTTCAGTAAGCCCATCGCGTCACAGCATCTCAGAGTGGAGGATGCAGAGCATAGCGCGAGACTCAGACGACAGCTCGGACGAAGAGTTCTTCGACGCTCATGGTAACCACACTTTATATGTATTTTGTTTGGATTGGAGTCGATGGTTAGATCAATAGATGTGTTTTATTTTGTTCAGTTTTCCGAAAACCTGCTTGCTCCCTTCTCCCCTGACTCTGCATGCATTTCTTTAACCACAGATCAGTTCTTAAGCTTCCCAGATTCCCAGCATGCTTTGGGGCTGCAGTTGAAATAGGTGGGTGTGGTGCAAAACCCACGCTCTCTGCTGGATGACTTTGGCCGAGGACACGGGCCAGGTGTCTCATCCTGACGTCCAGTTCAGAAATCACAATCGTCTCAGTCTCCCTCTCACCAACACACTCCAGCTCCTGCATCATCGTTTATACACACACACACACACACACACACACACAATCCCTTTACAATTCATAACATGTTCAGGCAATAAATGACACCCCCCCCCCCCAATAATTCACCAGTGTTTGAGTGGTGAAATTGTGAAACAAGAATAAAATCATGCTGTCATTTATTACATTGATGCTGGTTTAGCTGCAGTCTTTAGTTTCCACTGGAAATCATTAGACTGAATTGTGTTGACATCCAATAATTTATTTTGTGTTGCAGTATTCATGTTCTTATAGATTAATTATTGTATATTGGGTGCCTGAAATGAAAGCGCATTACGTTTTATTAAATGAATGATTAAACTTGTGACTGTGACTTATAACGTCATAAATTACCTTCTGTCTCAGTGGCTGTTAATGCGGCGATTAAAGTTGTGCCAGTCTCCGTATATTTATGATTTACACTGCAGAGGTGACCTTATAGAATAAGCAGTTATTTCAGTGTGGTAAATAAATGTGCTCGGTGTATCAAAATGAACTTGAGAAGCAGTGTAAATGAACATAAGTGCGTGCTTTGGTGCCCGGAGGAATCACATGATGGCGGCACTCAAATTAAATATGGAAACAGACTGACTTGGCTCAGATTGCCTCTGATATTAGATTTCTATCTTTAAAGTGTGTTTGTGGTCATGGTCCTCTTGCAGTAATCATGTAATACAAACACTTGAGATGCAAGTCCAAGTTTATTTTTAACTGTTATGTCCCCAATTTCTCTGTTGCAAAGATGTTTTTTTGTGCAGGAGGAAATGTTATAAGATATAATAGATAGCACATTCAGTGTGTCTGGTTTACCATGGCTTATTAATTAAGAGTTTAAATCTACACAACTTGTCTAAAGCTAGTATTGGACAACTTATTCTTCAAAATGGAGGCTACTATACAGCTTGCAAATGAAGCTGGAATAGAAATGTATTTATTGAGTTTGGTAAAGCCTACTGATGAAATAAAGATACTTCTTTACCTGCACACCTTAATGTTTACCCAGTTTAAGACTGCGTTGCTGTACGTGTTCATGAATGAAGGAAACTGAAGCAACTGAGAAATAACTTTAAAAGCAAGGCAGGAAAAAGTCACCTGTTGTTGAACTGTGTACATGACACGTCACCTCTTGGAGACTCATACACTTTTCAAGGCTTTTCTTTGGATCAATCAACAATTTGATGCACAAAAATGTTTTTTTAACTCTTCAACGTCAGCTTTATTGTTCCTGTGGGGAAATCTACCTTGTAACCAGGTAAAACATAGAACACACACACAGACGTAGGCACACAAACAATATATAAAATACATGAATATACATCAAGTGACAACAGAAAACCTAGAGTATGTTAAGCCATCACTGAAACCATCGTCATCAGCCCCCAGTAGTTAAATGGGAAATAATAATATAATATATAATAATAATAATAATCAGTTGGGTCATTGTGAGCATTTAACAGCTTGGTGGCCTGAGAAATAAAGGAAAGGCACTCCGCTGTTTGTGTTTCTGAGGAACTTGCTACAACTTACCACTTTACGTTGAAAAGCAGTACAGTGAAATAAAAGGACTTCAATTTCTTCAACAAAATTTTGTTATTTTTTATAGTTAACTACTATGTTACTTTTGATTTTGGATTAGATTTTCAGTTTGCTATCACAAACTGAAGTGAACAGGAGGTGGCTGCCTGTTTCTCAGAAACGAAGACGCTGGCACTGTAACAAAAATGTCCCAGGAGAGGAATTATGGGATAAAACTGGATATACTCTTTCAGATCCTGAGCCTTCCTTTTTAAGTCACAGATTAATATCAGTGGATGGATAACACAATCCATCAATATGTTTATATAAATTAAACATAAACACAATAACCTCTACTCAGTAGGTAATTGTTTAGTAAATATTTATCTTTTAAAAAAATCCATCATGGCAGTAACACCACACCACTTCTTGTCCACTGTCCTCCAGCTCTGCTTGGCATTTGAGACTGCAAAATATCATGTGCTTTACATCAAGAAGTGATAAATTATATCTGTTTAGTGATTTATATGACAATATGTTGTGGGAAACCTTGACAAGGTTACTTCAGGTTAGTCAACTGTTTTCATTATGAATAAGCAAATGTAACTTACACAACCTTGTTAATATCTAGAAACTAGGTTATATTGTTGGTGTAATGACAAATCTGTGAATGACACAATCGACTATATCGGTCAACAGCTGCCCACCTACAGCTGGGGTCTGTTCAAGGTTTCTGCCTCTTAAAAGGATGTTTTTCATTGCCACTGTTGCCAGGTGCTTGCTCATGGTGGAAATTGTTGGATCTCTGTAAATCATTTTATACGGAGTACGGTCTAGAGATAACTTCTGTTATGATTGCCGCTATACAAATAAAATTGAATGGAACTATAGTTGTTCATGATTTATCTTTTGTCACCCTTGCAGAGGATCTCTCAGACAACGAGGAGGTCATCCCAAAGGAAATCACCAAGTGGAACTCCAATGACCTAATGGACAAGATTGAAGCTGCAGACCCAGAAGAGACTCCTGGTATGATGAAGACCATGAACACTTCATCATGGACAGTCGCACTGCCTCAGCTCTTGATTTTAAGAACGTATGTGTGTTTGCAGGTGAACTGTTCAAGGAAATGACAGTGGATTATGAACGAGCAACCAGTGAGGAAAGACTAGATGAGGTACGTATCTGACAGTGGATGTGTATCTAAAGAAAACACGACCCTAACCATCCTTCACTGATGCAGAGCCATGTCTGAAATAATTATTCCTGAGGAAACATTTGCAGAAAATGCCCTTCAGGACCCAAAGGCTTTTGTTTAACTTGATTTTATTTGAATAAACATAGCCATTTGCATCAGCCATTACAGGTATGAAAGATAAGAGAAGGGATGTTTGTCCCTGAGCCTCTCTGTCCTCTTGTGTTCAGATGCGTGGCTCTGTTAGCGGCCAAGCCGATAGCTCTCCCATTCCCACCATCACGGTAACAAGGCACCAGTCAGTAAGTAAACAAGTACACTGTGGGCTACAGTAGCTCCACATGGACTCCCGATCCCTCTGAACAAACCCAGTACTCACTGCCCCTGCCCCTTTTCCCGCCGTTGCCCAAACCCAAATTTATGTGTACTCTTCAACCTCACCACCCTCTGTTCAACTCCCATGTACTTGCAGCTGTGGCGTTGAGTGTACATGTAGTGCTTCTTTGAAAATGTTTTGTATCAGACTTTAAAAGACAAAACTACACATTTTGTTGTTCAGTTTATTGTGACTTGTCCTCAGGAAGCATTGTTGTTGTTGTTTGCTGTTAGTTGAACAGTTGTCCAGGTGGAGTGTAGGTTGGCTCTGTTCTGTTTCCCTTCATGGTTCTCCACCCCACTCTGGTTGTGAAAAGAAGTTTGTACCAACATTTTGTTGTGTGGTCCACGTTTGAAGAGATGGACACAGATATGACTCACAAAACTGACAAAACAAAACAATTTGATGCACAATAGCTAAGGCATTATTGTTTATCTGTGATTCTTCCCACTCAGTAGCATGTTGTCTTTGGATGTGTTGATAAAAAGGATGTTTTCATAAATAAATATATAATTTATAGAACATGCTCCAGGAGCTTTTCCCCATCATCCCCATCCATCACCCTTTTTTTAAAATTAATTTTCTGTTCTCAGGAAAACTTGTCCCAGCAGCGTCTGCAGCCTTCCAAGATCCATGTGCTGATCTTGGTTCTGCACGGAGGGAACATCCTGGACACAGGTGGCGGGGACCAGACCAGCAAGCAGGCCGATGTCAACACGATTAGTACGGCTTTTGACACAGTCATGCGTGTTCACTACCCTGCTGCGCTGGGACGCATCGCCATCCGCTTGGTACCCTGCCCTGCCATCTGTGCCGAGGCCTTCTCCCTGGTGTCCAAGTAAGAGGACACACATGCACACATTTTTCTGCATGCTGAAAGAATCGTGGGTAATGATTGAAGGTTTTTGTTTATTGACTGTGATTGCTGTTTGCTTTTGGTGGAAAAGATCCAGGTGCAGCTCATGACCATCGCCCCCCTCTTCCTGTGTTTATTTCTTCACACTCCTCTGTGGACTGCCTTAATCTTTAAAATATGTTCATAATTGGTTTGTGTTCCTTTGCACAGCCTGAGCCCATACAGCTACGATGAGAGCTGTCTGTCCAGCAGCCAGGACCACATCCCCCTGGCAGCTCTCCCGCTCCTGGCCACCTCTTCTCCACAGTACCAGGAGGCCATGACCACTGTCATCGTCAGAGCCAACCAGGTGTATGCAGACTTCTTAAAGTCTCTGGATGGAGCAGCGTTCTCCGGCCAAGTCAGTACTGTTGAATTCTCAGATACCAACAATATGTACTTGTAGTTGTTCTCCTTATTAATTGACTTTGTGTTTTTGTTATCATTCTGTGTTGGAGTGGGTGAACCAACATTTTAGGTAAACCTGAAGGATTGATCTAAAAAATAGGATTATTTGTTTCATGTCTGTCCTTTGACCTCTCTAGGTATGCCTCATTGGGGACTGCGTGGGAGGAATCTTGGGATTTGATGCTCTGTGCAGTAGCAATCAGACAGTTAATGAAAGCCAGAACAGCAGTCGCAGGGGAAGTGTCGTTAGTGTACAGGTAAGAGACAGAATATTCAGAGAAGTCAATACATGAGTAAAAAATTTAATATGTTTAAACTCCTCATAAAATAACGTTGTTAACTCTGACACCTGCATCAAACATAAATACAATTACATCAGAAATTCAATTAGCTTCTGAAAATACCCCCTGCAACTATAATTTATGCAATGTAAACCTTTTTCTTCCATCATATTAACATTTATGGACTCTTTCTAAAGTGCCTTTAAGTTTTCATAACAAATGTTCCATTAATCAACCTTGCAGGACCAGGACCTCCTCTCTCCTGGCATCATTGTCAACAGCGGGCACGGGTCAGCCTCTCCGACCCTGGAGGGCAGCCGCCACCTCAGTCGCAGTAACATCGACATCCCTCGTGCCGGTGCTGGTGACGACACCAAGAGACAACTGCCACGCAAGAGGAGCGACTCCTCCACCTACGAATTGGACACAATAAAACAACACCAGGCCTTCCTGACCAGGTTTGTTGAGTGTGGGATGACAAAGATCCTTACCGTGGAAACAAAGAAAAAGATGTCAGTCCATCTTTTATGTATTTTTGGTTCTGCTCTGTCCTTCCAGCTTACACTCCAGTGTCTTGCGGAACGATGCGGCCTCACGCAGGTCGAGCAGCAGCACTATGCTGGATGGAGGCTCCCTGGGGAAGTTTGACTTTGAGGTGTCTGACTTTTTCCTGTTTGGCTCTCCTCTGGGCTTGGTACTCGCCCTGAGAAAGACTGTCATTCCTATGCTGGATGGTAAGCTATTTTGGACTGCAGTGCTCGTTATAATGTAATCAGTGATAGTAATTAGTAGTTTTTGTTGCATATGAGACATTATGCAAGAGTAAAAAATAACTTTTCAGTCTGCAAAAGTGCAAAAGGTTTACCTCAGGTGGAGATGTAGAGGTCATACCCACATACATACATACATACATAATTTCATTCATTACCAAGACTTAAATGCTAGTAAACGTCATATGTTTTATATGTTATCCGAGGGGAAGGGGCCCATAGATTCTTCTCTTCTCATCTCTCACATCTTTGGTTCGATTTCTCCCCCTAGTGGCCCAGCTGCGGCCTGCCTGTCAGCAGGTCTATAACCTGTTCCACCCAGCTGATCCCTCAGCCTCCCGTTTGGAGCCTCTGCTGGAGAGGAAATTTCATCTTCTGCCTCCCTTCAATGTGCCCCGATACCAACGCTTTCCCCTGGGAGACGGAAACTCTGCCCTACTGGGTGAGCCCTCTGCACTGATGTTGTATGAAAGCTTCATTAATATCAATTCAGTTAATATCCAATCATGAATTACAGCTTAGAATACTTTATGTAGTTCTGACTTGGATTCACGTGCACAGACACAAATGGCTAACATCAGCTGACACTACAGACACTGATTGTAACCTACTGTCTGGTTTCCCATGGGTGCATGCCATAGACAACACATGCCTTAAAGACATCTTAGTATCACGCTGTCAGTTCCTTTACACACAGAGTAAACATTGTCTCAAAGAAAAATGAAACATTTTTCTACTGTTTGTGCTTCAGCGTCTTTTGTGAAGCAGTTTATTCATCTAAATGTGGTCATAGTCCTGCTGGTGGTTTCTGTTTCGATTGGTCATTATAGTGGAGTAACCCTTAGAGCCTCAAACTACACTTTTTATACAAATATCTATGTATGAACGAGAACAACATAGAAATGAGTATGGTATCTAATGAGCAGAGAGATTTTTTTCTGGGGCTTATCAGCCAGCAACATAAGGTTTAATAAGCTGTACAAGATATTTTAGGGCTTCAGACTAGGGTTTTGTTGTGTCAGAGTCCTAAAAGTTATAGTTTTTATCAAATGAACTTATTCTCCTCAGGTCAGCCTTGTGTAACACACACACAAGTTTTCAGTACTGATAAAGTTTTGAAGACACATTCAAGATAATTCTGAGTTAAGAAAGTGCAAAAGATTTTATGACTTGATTCTAGGACATTGACAATCTGAGAGTTATGCGACATATATATGACTGAAAGAAGTGGGCTCGACTAAGGGCTTGACTCTGCTGTCTTGTCTCATGTTCAGTTGTTCTTGCTTCATATGTTTTTATGTCTTCCTTGTCTTCTTTCTTTCTTCCTCTCTCGGCCTCCTGTCCCCATATCTGCGTACGTGGCTCTCTACCTCCAAACCTCCTCCCCCCTGACCTCTGCCCCTTCTGCCCCTCCACCTCCCTCTGTAGTGGAGACAGTCCAGAGCAACACTCAGCTGCTACTTGACAGCGGGCCTCCCCTGTCCTTTCGCTGTCAGGAGACCATCAGTGAGACCTGCATCCCTGTGCCTGTGCTAAACTGGCAGGAGGGCTACCTCAAAGCCACACCCGCCACTATGGAGTGTGTGTAGCCTCTCCCATTCACCTGCATCCGTCCTCACCCCCATTCACTGTGTTTCCTCGTGTTCCATCCTTATTGCTGTCATGTCCAAGATGCTCAGATTTATACCTACAGTGTGTCCTGTCTGAGTATTCCCATTGCTGCTGTTTTAAGAGTCAAGAGCTGCAGTCATATTTCTGATAAATCCAGACAAAAATACATTGATAGACCAGTATATATGCTTGTATACCTTTTCTTGTAGCATCTAGTCTTCTATCTCAATTACTTTCTATAAACAGTTTTATTTCCTGGTTGAATTCTTGGCCACCATTTCTGGTTGGACATAGAAGTAGTATGAAATTGTTACAACTTGCTATGGAAATACTTTGGAAAATCTGATAAGCATCTCTTGTGGTGTTACTTTTTGTCGTTGCCATAATCACATATTCATGTCACATTCAGTGTTTGGAGGACACAAGCATTTGTGTTTGTGCTGTGGTTTTTAAGTTTTTAAGGTTTTATTGTGTCTGCATCATTTCCATAATATAAGATTATTGATGTCAACTGAGGGTATTTCTACTATTGTCTGAATTTCAGACGTTTTAATGTGAAGATTGTGCTGTTGTGTTGTGTTTGCATAGTGTACTGTATGTGGAGCTCTATCTATACATTCTGAATATAGTGTTCCTTATCTTTCTCCTTGTGATAATGGTCAGAGGTCATCTGATTTTATAAAATCTCCAGCACTATTGCATTATGTCTACAAAGACAAAAGACTTTAACATATTATTTTGTTAATAGAGAAAAAAAATCACCTCTGGAAGAGATATCAACACATGGGTGTGACTGTAACCGATGTGGATTTTTGTGATTGTACATACACTAAGTGTTTTATGTACTCATAAGCCTGTGTTTCCACTTGGTCGGTTAAAGAAATCTGACCCTGGCCGCCATGTGGCCACCTTTTGGTTTCACATGTCCTCTGAAACCATGGTGCCTGCCGTCACATTTCTCTCCTGCCATCCCTAATCCATGTCTCCCTCCCCCCCGTCACTGTGAGTTCCCCCTTACCTGTGTCTCTGTCTAATGGGATCTCCTTGTTTCGGCTCAATAGCGGATGTTGTTCAGTCTCATGGTGGTGTCTTCATGGACAGTTCGTACCCCTCATCCCCCGTAACGGGCCCCCTCTCCCGGGGCCAGCGGAGGGCCAGTGAGGTCAGCATTGCGAGCCAGGTCTCAGGAATGGCAGACAGTTACACTGCCACCAACATAGCCAACAGTAAGTGTTCTCAACACCAACAAGCCTCTCTCTCTCTCTCTTTCTTCCACTCACACAAACACTGGTCCAGTTATTCTCCACCTTTCTCTTCTTTCTTTCAGTCTAACTTTTCTCTATATTTCTGTCTTTCCGTTCCTTTTTCCGACTCTCCTCCTTCATCTTCTCTCTCTCAACCCCGTTACTCTGACTTTACACACACCCTGCACTCCAGCTGGAGCGTCTAGTAAGCCAGATAGACATGAATATACCCCGCTGCTTTTCCCCCAAAGTTTTTTCTCTATCTCTTATTGAAATTGAGCAAGCAGAGTCCTGAAGAAGTGCAAGTTTAGCGCCACTTTTCACTGTCTGTCTTACTCTTATCCACTGTCTAAATGTAAATGCAATGAACGAGTGCTGCATTTATCTAATGTTGCAATGCATGTAGACACCTGCCTCCCTCAGCCATTCCTGCATTGTCCACTCCCTAGTGCAATGTTTGCTGAGATGACCAGTATTCTGTTGTGTTTTATGTGCGATTGTCCTCCAAAGCCCCCCCTCCCTCCCTATTTCACTTTTGTTACCTCACGTTATTGTTCTGTACACTGCTGTTTTAGCGCCTACAGTACAACTCTGGAGATACACACAAACTAATTATGACACCAGAGCAACAGAGGACGTTCAACAGCCTCACCCTGACCTTCTGCCTTAACTGTTACCGCACTAACAATTGTTTTTCAGCTTTGACATTCACAGTTTCGTTTAAAGCAGCTTACTGACACCGGATGCATACCAACATCACTCTTCATACTGTTTAAACTGTCATAAACTGTTAGATACCAACCATTGCAACCGTTTTTCATATGATCCCTTTCTCTTTGTTTTCTCCCCATAGCAAAATCATGCCAAAATAACCAATACAAAAAGTTCAGCCTTTTGTCCCAACTTGCCCTATCATCACAAAACAAATTCTTCCTGAAAAGTCCTCCTAAGTCCCGTAAGAAAGCAGTGACTGGCCAGGCCACAGGATCTCGTGATGCAGATCTAGTGGCTGAGCTGGACGGTGAGGCAGAGACTAGTGAAGGTCTAAGTCCCATTGGCCAGTACGAGAACTGCCTGTCAGCTGGGCTGGACTGTGCTATATCTGATCTGGTCTCACTGGACTCCCAGGCTGAAGTGGAGCAAGGTATTATTCTAAGGGAGGGGACTTCTGAAATCAACGTGAGGCTACAGCTCTTTTCTGTGTGCTGTTCTATACTGTGTCAAAACCCCAAAACTCAATGCTGCTCTTTCAGAAAGCCTCTTTTTATTCTTCCCTTTATTTATATTTTTTCCAAATTTATTCGTACAGATTCAAATCGATCACTTCAATAATGTATAAATCCAGACCTTGCCTCTTCTTTCCAAAATCAATAATCTTTTTTTACACCCATACTAACATGAATAACCATTTTCAATTGCTCATACAATCATGTATCAGTTCTAACAATCTTTTCCTTCCTTCTGCACTTGAATTTCAGCGCTTGATTTTTCTGTTAATAACAATTGTAAACTCCTGATTTCCTTCTTCTAGCTGAAGAACTGCTGGGATCGGTGATAATTATGGTTTAAGACTAAAATAGTCTTTATTATTATTTGGCTTCAGGGGTGTTGCACCTTTGCGTGGCATCACATACCTCACGCTGATTCTTACAGTTTCAACTTACATATCTGCTCCCTATTCACTCCATTCCCATCGCAGTGGCAGCACGTTGGTGGGGTACAAAGCGGCTGGACTTTGCCCTCTACTGCCCCGATGCTCTGACAGCTTTCCCCACTGTGGCTTTACCACACCTCTTCCACGCATCATACTGGGAGTCTACTGATGTTGTGTCTTTTCTTCTTAGACAGGTGAGTCAACATTAGCATACGCACCACTCTTTATGGCCTGTTAATGTGTGACCAGCAGGTTATGAGTCCTCATTGAAATGTCTCCCGTAGGTCATGAGGCATGAAAACTCTAGCATCCTGGAGCTGGATGGGAAAGAAGTGTCTGAATTCACGCCCTCCAAACCCAGAGAGAAGTGGCTCCGCAAGAGGACTCATGTGAAGATCAGGGTAGGCATCAGATCTCCAAAAGCTGTGTTGAGGGACTTTAGTGACTCACATAATCCTGAATTACTTCTTTGTCTTGGACCTTATGCTTATCCATTAATGTCATCGTACATAGAAAAAACAACTTTTGTTTAATAGAATGGACAAAACTACATTTCAGCATGTATGTTTCTTTCACTCCTTTGACAGAACGTGACAGCCAACCACCGTGTAAATGACGCAGTGTTCACAGAAGACTCCCAGCAGGTCATGACGGGTCGCTTCATGTACGGCCCTCTGGACATGGTCACTTTGGCCGGGGAGAAGGTGATCTCTCATTTTCCATCACAAGTGAGAACATCGACTGCTGTTAGTAGTGCTTGTGTAATTTGTGCTCAAGGTTGTGTAATCCTGTGCAGGTTGACCTCCACATTATGACCCAGCCTCCATCAGGAGAATGGGTGTACTTCAGCACAGAAGTGACCAACAGCAGCGGCCGTGTGTCTTTTGTCATCCCAGAGGACAAACGTCTGGGCATCGGAGTCTACCCAGTCAAAATGGTTGTCAGGTGAGATTAGTTTTACCTTTCTTAGTAGGCCATTTTCACAGCGGACATTTTGACTTCTAGGAAGTCACAGTTGCTACTAATAAAGTGCTGACGTATTTTTGTAGGCCAACCAGGAAAGTAGCATCGCCCTGGTTCCTTTGACACACAGCCATGGGATTTTCCCTTTGGACTTTGATTATTTGCAGAAAATAAGCTCTGCGACAAATAAAGTTTTATGATACTTATCTTCACAGATGAACCACTTTAATGATTTTTTTAGGTGTAAATGCAATCAATGCGGTCACCATCACTAAATGTCCAACCTGTCATTAAAAAGTGTAATTAAAATCTACAAGTTGGAACTTTTCAGATAGAATAATTTGTAACAGCGCAATTATAAACACAACAAGGCTGTAACGGTGTACTAGTGGATATATATGTCTCTGTGTTCAGTGTTTAATGTCACTGACAACCACTGTAGTCTCATTTATATCTCTTAAGCTTGTGTTAAGCACAGATCTTATTTCAGGCACCAAACCGAAAACCCAGTCACTTTGAGTTCAGGGAACTGGATGTGCAAAAATGCTAATTAATTTCCAGGTTTTAGGACTCATCCCTGCAGTACACTATAACATTAATGATGGCTCTGTTCCACAAAGCCATGACAGTGTGAGAGTGGGCCAGCATGAACAATACCAGGACCCAGAAACCAGAGCAGCTAAATAGAGTACAGCCATATATTAGTTGAATATGAACCATGCTATCTGAGAAATCTCAGATTATCTTTGTTTTCCATGTTTTCTTACTCTCTTGTTGTTCTTTTCATTGTCCAGGGGCGACCACACATTTGCAGACAGCTACCTGACAGTTATTCCACGTGGCACAGAGTTTGTGGTATTCAGCATTGACGGGTCATTTGCTGCCAGTGTGTCAATCATGGGCAGTGATCCCAAAGTGCGGGCAGGAGCCGTGGATGTTGTCAGGTACCTAGCTGCTCTTCTGTTTTCTCTTTCAGACTGAAGCACATTAGTGTGTAGCATTGTTATTTATGTCTTTGTTCTCCTGTATTCTCCTCCTTGCAGGCACTGGCAGGATTTAGGCTTTTTGATCATCTATGTGACAGGAAGACCAGACATGCAGAAGCAGCGGGTTGTGGCTTGGTTGTCTCAGCACAACTTCCCTCATGGCATTGTCTCCTTCTGCGACGGCCTGGTCCACGACCCGCTCAGACACAAGGCCAACTTCCTCAAGTCCCTGACAGAGGTCAGACTGGGAGAATTGAGGGGGGGTCTATGTGCAGTTTTAGTAGTGTAATGTGTAGTCTTGATCTTTGTGGAATGAAAAAGGAGTACAGTTTTAGTTGTGAAAATAAAAACAACAATGCTGACAGGGTATTAGTGAAATATAAACTCAGTAGTTAAGAAAAATGCACATTGCCAAACAGTGCTCTTGTCCATTTGATTCCAGGCTCACCTGAAGATTTTCGCTGGCTACGGATCAACCAAAGACATCTCTGTCTACACCGCTATTGGCCTCCCTCCCTTACAAATATACATCGTCGGTAGACCCTCCAAAAAGATGCAGAGCCAGTGCCAGGTAATATTTGATTATTTAACATTTAATACTGATCAGTTTGAATACTGCGACTCGTTCAGCTAACTAAAAGAAATATCAATTAACTGAACCAAAATGTAAAAATTCTCCTTATTCTCTACAGTTTATAATATGTCTTTGGTCTGTTCCTCTCAACAGTTCATCACAGAGGGATACGCGGCCCATTTGTCCCTGCTGGAGTACAACCACCGTTCTCGGCCAGCTAAGTCCAGCAGTGCACGCATGGTGCTACGTAAAGGCAGCTTTGGCTTGGGTGCAAACAGCGACTTCCTGAGGAAGAGGAACCACCTGCTGCGCACCATCTCCTCCCAGCCGGCCCCCAGCTCCCCAACGGGCAACATCCACAACAGACCAGAGCGCACACAGAGCCAATCAGACGGCGAGCGGCTGGAGCGGGAACGGCTGGATTGCGCTCACGGCCACAGCCAGGGAGCAACACAGCGCAGCATGAGCATCACAGCAAGCTGCTGGGGCCGCAGCAGCAGCACCAAGCTGGACCCAGGCATCCTCAGCCCCAAATGAGATTCTGGAGACGATGTGAGAGTAGCTTCGGTAGAGTGACTTAAAAATACAGTGCTGAGGAAGAGACTCATGACAAAGATAAAATGCAAAGAGTGAAAAACAGTTGGCTTGCACCAGATGGGTAAATATAACAATGAAAACATTAGGTGCTAAAAAACCACTCTTTATAAAAACTAATGCCAGTCACACTCCACACACAATATTTATAGACAGGGGCTATGGCTATATTTATTATAAAACACACACAACTCAACAGGCATTTCAAGAAGCATCTTCCTGAAACGGGAACATGCACACAAGTAGACATATACTTATATTGTAGGAATGTAGACTGTTTCTACTGTTTAGTAAATATTTATCAGTCTTGAATACAAGGTCAGTTTTTCCTCTTACAAAAGGCTTTTAGATCGGAGACGGTTACACATACAAGCACCCCCATGCAACAACACAAAGTGGTTACAGACAGCCTGTATCAGGTCCAAGTGCTGATACTGCACTGTAACTGACTGCTGTGGCCACTGCAAGCACAATTACTATAGAGATCAACTTTGTGCAGAATAGTTTTAAAGCTTTTGTCCTTTTTATGTGATAATCAAGGTATGTTCACGTCTGGGAGCAGACGAAGAATAGCATAAAACTGGATTGAATGGGTTTCTTTTGTTGTTGTGACCAAATAAAGACACAATCATTTGGCCAAAATTGGCATTTTTTTTAAAAGAAAAGCATCATCAGTTATCAACATATAAAAATGTTTGGCGGTGCTGTAAGCCAACAAGAAATTATTTGATCTATTACTAGCATTTACAAACAGCAATGACTACATAGCGTTTCACCAAACCATACAGTCCAGTTTTGCTTGTTTTCTAGTCGTCCCTCAGACCAAAGAACCATCCGAGTATCACATGAAGCGAACTGCGAGATTACCCTTTAACTACGGTTGCAGCTGAAACTGTTGCTGGGATTTTATATAGTATTTCACCACATCTCACCATAGTGCGCTGCTGTACCCTCCTGAACCAGTAATGTATGACTCAGCTTTAGGGAAAAAACTGCTACTACTGTACGGTTAATGTGCCAAAGTAAACAGTATAGAATGATATGCTGTACATGAAGAGAAAGGGTCTAATGTGTAAAAAATGGAATAGATTGTGTACGTATGTAGTTGAATGCCTTAACAAGGCTTGTACATAATTGTTATATTACAGTGCAGATCTGGTATCTGGTCCACTGAAGACCAGTTTTAAGTGTCTTCTTTACTCTGGGGGTAAACACCGCCTCATTCAGGATACACTTTATTGATTGATGATGATAATTATTGTTATTTAAGATTATAGATATTTTAAAATGTATTGATTTTGTGAACAAAATGTGTTTTATGATTATCTTAGCTATATTGTGTTTTTTTTTTCTTCAAACTTAAGTTGCAGCAGCCAAAACTCAAACTTTGCCTGGCACAGTATTGTATTTTTATTATTTTACCTTGCAGATCACCATAATAGTATCAACAGAACTGATATCTTGTGTCATATATTGTATGTTTGTTATTATCTATTTTGGAAATTTGGGATATGGCTTCTCTCTGGTTATCCCTAAGCTGTAAATGAGGCGTTGAATGTGCTCATAGATAATCCTCCTTAGGTTAAGGTCTCTTTTCTCTGTTCTGCTGCGCCTTTTAGAGGAAGAATAATCTGCAAATTGTAAATTCTGTACAATATGCTGTCAGAAGTAGGAACACAGTTCTTTATGCTGTTTGCCATTTGTTTCTGAAATGGGTAAAAGTTTGTGATTTATTCATTCAAACGATGTTTATTTGTCCCTCTAATAGGCATATACAGAGCTGACTGCAATGGACCAATTATGGGCTCAAATGTAAGGGGAAGCGTGCAATATTGCTCAACCACACCACAAGATCAAACAGACTGCGTTGAGTGAATGTCACAGTGCATTGACAATCAGTTCAACAGGCACATATTCTACAGGCGTCAAATTGCAGAGGGAATTGTGAGAACATCTTAGCAATCAAAAAACGCACAGAGCAACATTTGTTTTTTTTAAAAGGAGAGATTTCGCACAAGAAAAGTGCCCCTGACCTGATAATGGTATAATATATTGTTTTATCCTGTGGACTTTGTTTTTAATGTTTTCAGCACCCAGTTGCCAGTTCATTGGGTCCACTAACAACATTGTAGTCCTGCAACAGATCCAGATACCTTTTGGGAAGGTTTTAATGTTTCACTTTTAGTTTTAACTGTTTTAGAGAAGTTCAACTTACTGGTCACTTTGGCGGCTGTAGTTTGTGGTGCTGTTGAATTGTATTGTGTTAAATGAAAGGTGTTTCTAATATTTTGTCCACCCCTTTAACAATTGGTAGATTTAATTCGTAGATCACTGAGTGTGCATTCCAATGCATAGGTATCTATAGCTTCCTTTTTCCTGTTTTCTAGCTTCCTGTAACCACTGTCCCCTCTGCAGTTTGACCATTTCAGAGATTTGGCTTGAAGCCATATATACAACTCTTTCAAAAGCTGCTGATTAAAGAAAGGCTGTTTGTACACTGAAAGTAACTAGTAAAAATGACACTCATCTAAAGTTGGCAACTACTCAACCATATTCCCTTCCTCAGAGATCTGATTAACCTGGATATTAAAAATCCAGAGAATGTAAAGACGAAGCGGTGCGGTTATCTGTGAAGTTTGGATACCTCTGGGCAGACAATCGCTTCAATTATGCTACTGAGACACACATTACCAGAGGCCTTACAATTCCCTTTTCTGCCTTACATTGTGTTTTGCGAGGCAGCCTTGAATGAACGCTGTTCACTCCCGAATTGACTTTATGGAAAAAAGGATAGACTGTTCATGTAGACTTCACTTTGTGGAAATAGGAAATGGCCATATTTTCTTAAAAAAAAAAAAAAGGCGTTGGCTTGTTCTCATTTAAAGGAAATGTACAGAGGAAAAATTTATTTCACCCACATTAGGCAATCCATTACTATCTGAAGCTTCGTCCCCTGGGTTAATGCAATGCCACAGCTCTTTAGCATTCATAGGCTGTGTATATATATATATATACCACATACCTTGATAAATATTTTCATTGTACAGGGTGTGTATCTTGTAGGTTTTGGATAACTTCATTTTATCCATTCCCTTGTGTTTTTATGTACAGTGTATAAAGAACATATAAAGAAGTACTAAGTAATTTGGGCCTTTTTTTCACACTCCAAATGGTAACATTGTCATGAAGAAGAATCATGGTTCAGCTGGATAAAAAGGATGGACTTCAGATTATTCAGATAAAAAATTTGATGCAGTTCACACCAACGGTTTATTTTTCTGGGATCAGTTCACACAAATGCAGATTTCTTCAGAGAACCAAAAAGAAACCAAATGTGAGATTTAAAGGTGAGAAGAGATTCATGAGTGGGTGTAGAGTATGTAGCCAAAATTTAAAAAAAGGGTTTGTAGAGTCCAACAGGATACTGAACAAATCAGCTTCTTAATATTTTTGATTTTAACTATAAATCGTTAATTTCAAATGAAGAAAACATTTAAATGGTCACAACTCTACAACAGGAAACTGAAGACTCTACTTGCAGTCCATTCAGGGTCGATCCTTAAATGTACTCACTGATACGCTTAAAACGTGGACAAAATAAATAAGCATTAATCAGTGTAAATACGCGTCGAATGTGCAAACTATTTGTCTTCCTCGTGTACAGTTCCTAAGGCAGATCTCAGCTGAGTCGATCACCAACTCACCTGCTTCTGTTTATATCTCCTTTGTGATCAGCGTAGACTTAAGGCGAATCAACAGGAGAAACCGGCTTTCACCTGGATTAAAACTCACTAGTGTACGGCTACAGTACACGTCCCAGTCATTGTGTACCTTCAGCAATATACAGTTATATCACAGGCAACTGTTTCAAATCAGAATATAAAAATTCAGCTTCTTGACGCAGTTCAGGGAATCTTCTACCTGTTGACTCCCAGTTTCCTCTGGAAGGCGTTCCCGTCCCCCTTGGTGGCTTGCTATGGGGATGAATGGATGTTCACGGTTAGATTAAAGTGAAAGTCAACGATTACTTCACATTATAATTGAAACTTCCTCCCGTACCTTGTTGATGTCTTTATGTTTTTCTCGGCTGACGATCTCCTCTATGATCTCTCCTTCTCCTCTCACCAATCTGGAAGAAAGGATTTTTTTAAGAAGGCTTAAAAACATAAATAATGTTATAAATAAAATAAAATACAGGAGATAAGTAAATACTCAACTCAGGGACCTAAAAATGCAATTTACAGGCAACATCACAACACCTAAATGATGGCGATGGAGCGTTTGATCATTCTGTGAATCCGAACAGACTCAACCTCAACAGGTAAACGTTACATAGTAAACTAGTAGAACTCTGTAGCTCTGGTTTACCTGGTGCGTCCTGTTTCGGGGTCCACCACCCTGCGGATCACGCTCTGTCTGGCCTCGTACTCCTCTTTAGTTAGGGGTCTCTTAGTGGAGAGTCGGGCCTTCTGTTCATCGGTCATCACTGCAGAGAAAAGAGGAAAAAAGTAAGTTTTTACATTTATATTAGGTGATATGATGATACATACTGGGAGACAATATACATCACTTTTACCACAATTTATATAATCCTGTCCTCTTAATGTCTTAATGGTTGTATTAGGCCACTGTGGGAAATCTTGGAAATGAATGAGGAGAACTCTTTATATAATCTTTGCCTCAGTGTGATTTGGGGACCTTAAAAGGACCAGTGTTTAGGATTTAGTGACATCTAGAGGTAAAGTTTCAGATTACAACTAACTGAAAATTGCAGGAACAGCTCTGTCTACATCCATCTGTTGTGGTCTAATGTAGAAACATGGTGGTCCAATGGCGGCGACCCACAGCATCTGTACATTATAGTCAGGTTATTATACTCTAATGCAAACATATCTGTGAATATTATATCACATTTCTGCCACTAGATCCTCCTAAATGTTACAAACTGGAACCTTTAAATAGTCAGGTATTTTAATTTGCTTGATGAACTTATTTATAACCAAATAAATGCAGTTTTATAAAACTGCTCTGCCTTTTCTTTACAAAGCTCATAATATTCAGGCTTTTGTTGACACTCTGAGATGCGTAAATCAAATGATACGAGTGTGTCCGAACATTAGAAACACCTCCAAATAATCACTAACTATGACCTCAATGCCAAAACATAGAATTTAATCAACAGCTCCATTAAAGTGTGAACAAAACTGGGCATTTGGAGCATCATAGGAGTTGACCTATTATTTATATCACTTTATTAGTTTGATAAAATGATATAAAACATTAAATAAATGTAATGTCCCACCAGGTCCCAGCTCCACTGCCCCCTCATCACTCTGCCACACCTCCAGGCAGGATGGAGGTTTCTCCACGGGAGGACTGGGCAGCTGCACCACCTCCACTTTCTTCTTCCTCTCCTTCTTTTTCAGGAGCTTCTCCTCCTTCTTTTTCTTCTTTTTCTCCTTCTTCCTCCTCTTCAGCTTCTTCAGCTTCGCCTTTTTCTTCTTGGACTTCTTCTTCTTGGCTTTGCTCTTCTTCCCCTTCGTCTTCACCTCGCTCGACGAGCAGGAGGACGAGGAGGAGGAGGAGGAGGAGGTGGACGACGAAGAGGAGGAGGAAGAGGAGCTCCTTTTTCTACGCTTCTTTTTTTGTGTTTTCACATCTGAGGGAGACACAGGGGAGAAGTTGAACAGAGTTTATTTCACAGACTTTAGTCGCTTTCACTAGTTTAAGCCCAACCTTGACTCTTGTGAGACTTCTTCGATGATCTGCTTCGGCTCCTGCTGCTGGATGAGGAAGACGACGAGGAGGACGAAGAGGAGGAGGTCGAGGAGGACCGGGTTCGTTTCTTTCTCTTCTCGTGTTTTTTATCTCTGCCAGCTCTGTCCGGAGACCTGCTGCGATCCATCACCGAGACAACACGAGAATAAAAGCCCGACATAAAGAGACACTGTTGCTGCAGGAAGTGTGCTCGTCCTCTGCGTCCTTCCGTCGGCGCCGGGATACACACTGTAAAGGTTCCTAGTTCCTACTTTAGTTTTTAGATAGATAGATAGATAGATAGATAGATAGATAGATAGATAGACTAGATAGGATAGATAGATAGAAGATAGGGATAGATAGATAGATAGATATGATAGGATAAAAACGATACGGTCAGCCCAGGGTATTAGACATTAAAATACAATAAAAAATAACTTAGAAAAGAAAAAATATAAATAGGGTAGGTACAAGGTGCCAAAGAGTTTGTAGTTGTCAAGATGGTCCGTAATAGTACTGATGACATGGTCGGTAGTGTTATTGTTAATCAACCAGTATATAATATCACAGTATGTGGTAATGATAAATATTAATAATATCTATAATAATCAGTAATATGATGACTGAACAGATATACATGTATACACATAGATATTATACATTAATATTGATATAATGTAAACATGTGTCATATATTCAGCCTGTGCAAGGTGTGCATACATACATACTGTAATATATATACACAATATATATACATATATATATATATACATGATATGATATATAGCATATGTATAATAGATACTTGACTATAAATAAACTATAAGTTTATTTGAGGGGAAAGTAAAGTAACTAAGTACATTTACTCAAGAAGTGTACTTAAGCACCATTTTGAGGTACTTGTGCTTTACTGGAGTTGGTACTATTTATATTCTACATTTGCAGATTCAGATTAATAATACAAAATATAATCAACACTTATATTCTGATGTATAATTATAGGTTAAGATAAAACTTAAAACTATTGACATTATTCTGAAATGGGCCATTCTACATAATTAATACTTTGTGTATATTTTGATACTTTTGTACTTTTACTTAAGTTACATTTTAAATGCCGAATGTTTACTAAAAGAGTATTTCTGCACTGTAATTTTTTTTTTAAGTTTTGAGTATTTCTTTCACCACTGGTAAACACTTAGAAGTACATAATAAAAGTGTCAATACCACAATGTGAATGTACTCTGTTACAGGTAATAATCATGTAAATGTAAAGTAAAAGTATTGTCATTGTGTTGTATAAAAAGTTTTCAACCCTCCGGGGCTCATTAGAAATCCTTAAAATGACACAATGTGAATATCACTCTTTGGTTAAACTACTCAATAACTCATGTTTCTCTCATGCAGAGATCCAAAGAAAAACCTACAAACTCAGTAAAACTACACAAACTCTCCACCTGGTGCCTTAAGCCCTCACAATAAAACTGTGGTACCTCACTTGATACTGAAAGAGAATTAATCATATCTGCTTCTTATCATCAGGTTAAACGAGGACACTGAGGTGATCAACAACTGAAAGTCTCTGTGGGAGAATTTGAACCTTTGTATGTGAAGGGTGGACGTCTGCCTCCCAAAAAGAGTTTAAAGTGTAACAGGTTTTAGGGTTGCACTAATCATTGAGGGCTGTTGTCCCCGTCTCCTGCTTCCATGTCACAAAAAAATGTGAGTGAGTGAGTTAAAGGAATGAAGTGCAATAATTGTGGGGAAACTTTTTTAATAGAAGAGAAAGAAATAAAGAAGTAAAGAGAATTAGTTTGTTATTCAGGGTATTATTTTCTCAAACGAGACCCAGTTTTTATCTAGGTAAGAGACCATTGATTCATAGAGGTCTGTGTTGTTGTCATGCCAACTACAGAAAGTTGGTTTAGAGGGTGAAGGCAGGAATAAGCGGTTATTTAAAACCGACGCTCAGAGGCAATTACTTATAATAATAGTGCGTGAGAATTGAGATATATTTGGAAGAAGTGCATTAATGTGAATATGATACTGTAGAAAATCATGGTCACATTTATTCACTGTAAAAAGAAAGAAGAAAGACACAAGAACATATTTGTAATATTTATTTCAAAGTTTTTACAAAGGCAATTGTGAATCTTTAAAGCTTGTATATTGATAAAACATACTTGTTCCTGATGATGTTAGCCCTTATCACTCTTGGTACATAAGGCTAAACTAACACAGAGAAATGCAACAGACAGGCTTCAATTCCTCTGCATAAACTGCTTTCCAGCTTAGAGTTTAATACTGTGTCCTGCCTCCATTCAGGTTTAAATATGTCACTGTAGCAATAAATAAAAACAATCTTTCAAGATTCCTTAAAACTGATAAATACTGCAAATATCTGTTACATAAAAACACACAGCTGCATGAGTGAATGTAACAGTCGAAAACATGGCTGGACTTGAAGTTAGGGAAGGTTAAAGATGTCACCAGGAAGAGAGCATTAAAGCTATCATCTCTCCAGTCCGTGTGCAAGGGGAGCTCTTCAGGTTGCTCCAAGTAAAAAATGAGAGGGTGGTGGTGTTGAGGTCGGGTGGGGTGGCGGTGTGCGGGAGCTGGAATGTGTCACTGTTGCTGGGATTTTCTTCGCCCCATTAGGACGCAGCTGCCATGCGGATCCTCTCTGGGGGATACAGCAGAACGTTCTTAGCAGCTTTGATAGTGTTTTTCATAAGCATGGCCACAGTCATGGGTCCCACACCTCCAGGTACAGGGGTGATGAAGCCCGCCTTCTGTCTCACGGCTGAAGACAAGAAAAAAAAAAAAAGCCGTTACAAAAAACACACGAGATAAGACCGAGGATGTCTGTGCAGAATTAAGTCACCGTCACAGCCTTACCTTCAAAATCCACATCTCCAACCAGTCTGTTCTTCCCAGTGACCGGGTCCTGCACTCGGTTAATCCCGACGTCAATCACGGCTGCTCCCTCTTTAATCATGTCAGCGGTGATTAGGTTTGGAATCCCTGATACAGATCAGTAAACACACAGTTAGACAACAGAACGAATAGTAGAAAGTGAATTTACTAAAGAAAGATTAGATTTAAACAGGCACAAACCTGCAGCAGCCACAATGATATCAGCGATTTTAGTGTGCTGGCGAAGTTGCTCCTTAGGAGTGTAACGGTGAGAAATGGTCACAGTGGCATCACCTGCAACAGAAATAACATTCATTATTCATACCATATATAAATAAACCCTCCATCTTTGTACACACAGATAAACCTAAGTGCACTTTAACCAACCTCCGGGCCTTTCATGGCGGCCGTCTGTGTGCAGTAACATGGCGATGGGCATGCCCACATTCTTGGAGCGTCCTGCAACCACAACATTCTTCCCAAGAGTAGGAATACCTGAAAGACGAGTATTCCGATAATTAGTTTCAGACAGTACGTTCAGCGGGGTTCCAACTTAAGAGGAAGTAAGCAGTTCCTCATGTTACCTGTGCGTTTAATGATTTCCATCACTCCCCAGGGAGTGGCAGGAAGCATGGTGGACTGATCCAGGCACATACGGCCCACGTTAACTACGTGGAAGCCGTCCACGTCCTTGGTAGGGGCAACTGCGTTACAGATTGCACGCTCATCAATGTGGTCTGTCAGGAAACAGAGACAAGTTACAGTCAGGTAGATCTCAAACGTTTTGTTCAAGAACACGAGTGAGTTTATAAAATGCTCTGTGTATTCCACTGTTTCTCCGTACCTGGCAAAGGCAGCTGGACCAGCAGGCCGTCCACACGATGGTCTGTGTTGAGTTTGTAGATCAGGTCCAATAACTCCTCCTCACTGATGTCTGAATGCTTGAGAATGGTCTCACTAGAGATTCCTGTGGGAGGTTGAAGTGAGAAAACAACTTAAAAAAAAACACAGCCGAGCATTTGTTCCTTTTGTTGTTATATTGTGGAATAAATGTGTTTAATAACTGAGGACTGTGGGTGTTATTTTCTTACCAACATCAGCTGCCGCGCGTGTCTTATTCAGGACGTAGGAGTGACTGGCTGGGTTGTCTCCCACCAGAACCACACTGAGATGGGGTCTCCTGTGGCCAGCTATAACCCATTTCTCCACGTCAGCCCGGGCCTCCTCCCGAATCTGCCGTGCTAGCTTCTTTCCTGAGATGACCACCGCCTCCTGTCTGAAAATTGACATTTAAAAAAAAAAACACTTATATTTTAACAAGCTGTGATTCTGCTGTTATTAAGAAGAAGACAATAGGGGGTAAATAGATCATTCAGAGCCCAAGTTTAACAGTTTAAAAAGCTCTTAATAAGACAACAAACCACAAAAAATTACGCTTTATAAATAAATATGTACATTTCTTCCAGCTCAACAGTCGAATCTAATCTAATCGTACAAATATCACTGATCTACTGGACACGGTCTCCTTTATTACTGTTGAACAGGACTTGTGATACCAGAAACCTGTAATCAATCTCAAGCATTTGGCCTGAGCAAGCACCAATTCCAGCCTCTAAAATTAGACACAGCACGTCTCCACCTGACGGAGCCATATGCTCAATGAGCACTTTTATTGTACTTACAGTATCCTGCGTTACGTGTTATATGTGTGAGAGGATTTTATAATGAAGTGCAGTCAGCGGGACCTGATGGTTAAAACTGGGGGAAAATGCTGCTGTATGATTATACAAGCTGGGTTGGCATGTTCTGCTGCTTTGTTCAAACTTCAAAAGCATCAGGATGGTTATGAATTATATAACAACAAACTGTGGCTAATAACTGAAGAGTAATGAGCCATCAACAGTGATGTAACCACCCTTTTATTCTGCCAAAACTAATTAAAAAACGTCGCAGAAAAGTATCACATCTTTGGGTAAAACGGGGTTAGACCATGGGGCCAGTGTACCAGGTCGCAGAGGAAAAGGTGTCGAGATTGCAGGGCGGCACTCTGCTCTTTAACCTCTTAAAAGTTTAAACACAAACATGATCTTCTGAGGACAAAATCTCTTTTCAAATGTGTGTGTACATATTTATTTAAGTAGCCCATCTTCAGTGAGACCCACCTCACAGGAGACAGGTCTTTTTTTTATGTTTTATGTATTTTAAAATGATTAGGTTACTTGTTGCTGTCTCCACTTTAATGTGAAGAGTTTGTGTGTAAGTGAAGTTGCATATGTGTGTATGTGTGTGTGGCAATAAGTCTTACATAATATGCCATAG